ATATATATATATATATATATACTTTATTTCCCAACCATTCTGGAATGTAAAACAATTCGTGGCATATAGCAGGCCATACAAAAACAGGCAGAGGGGGCTGGGTTTGGCCCATGGACCACAGCTTGCTGACCCCTGATCTAAATGACTCTAAACGATACACTACCTGCTTTGTGTCCTTTTGCTGCTTCCCTCTCTCTGACCAGGTCATTACAATAAGAATTTCTATGTAACTTTACATGTCACTAGCAACTCTTATATGTAAAGTATCCGATATAGCAAAAGTCAACACAACTCTCTAGAAAACGAAAAGGAATTTGACTGTATAAGTGCACAAGCCCATGTCATGTAGCAACGTTTACATAGTGAGCCAACTTTACTGCTTGTTATTTTCAGTACCGTTTCCACTCGATCAGTGAAGTTTCCTGCGATCTGTTTTCCACAAAGCATGGCATTAATTTTGCTTTTAATCATTCTGTTGTTTCCGGTGTGTGCAATAACCCTGCTGAAGGAGGTCAGAACTGCTAGAACATATTATATTTCCTCTGCAGAAGTGAAATACAAGAAATTTCCCATTCCAAAATCCTGTCAACTCTAATTCTAAAAGAAGCTTCACCAGATTCTATTTAGGTTAAAAGAAAAAGTGAAAATGACTGTTGTTCAGAAAAGGACAAATTTGCAGCTTGAAATAATGAATCTTTTCTAAAATACACTTGGAGTTGGTCTCCTTCCCAGCCTCTAGTTCAGTGTTTCCAATATGATCCAGGAATGTCCTTCTTCAGAATCTTCTTGGCCCCATATTAAGTCTACTATATAGGACTTGGTGGGGTTGGGGATAGGAGGTGGGTGGACGGTGGAGGAAAGGGAGGTCAAAAAAATCTACATGTTTAACAAGCACCCCAGGTGGTTCTGATGTACATAGGTTTGCAGCCTGCTCTGGACCTTGACTCATAAGGTATAATTAAAGATCAAAATAACCTTTTTTTCTTTCTTAGTCAATAACACCAATAAATAAACCCTGTCCTCAGTCAGGGAAAGACACATTTAATATTGTTAAGAATTTGTATGATAAGAAAATAAAATGACATCCAACTCACTTATATAACTAAACGAATTTAAGTAGGGAACAAATCATACAATAAACAGAGATATAACATCAGTTTCTGTTTTTATTGCCTTGAAACATAGCTGACTCAGTCAAATTCTTAAGTGCTTAAAGGCACAGGGTATAAAATAAAATACAAACTAAGCTAGCAGTGTTGTGAAAACATGACACCTCCCTAGTCAGGATGTCCTAAACAGGACACACTTGCTGACTATGTACAGACTCAGGCTACCATTTTGATCAACTGTCTTTGAACCAGAGCTATTGTAGAACAGCTCTTAGAAAGCAAGATCTTGTACCATTGTTTCTTCCAGGTCTTAATAATCTAAATTATGACTGAATAGAATAATTCTGGAAGGATAGACAATAAACCAATAAGAGTAGTTGCTTCTGCAGAAAAAAAAATAGATCAGGAAAGAGAGGTTTTTTTGTTTGTTGATTTTTTTACTATATACCCTTTAATATAATTTTTAAAGGCTTATCATTTTCATATTTTACTCCTTAAAAAAATCATTTTTTTAAAAGAAAGTACCGACCAAAAAAATCTGAAAATATAAATAGAATAAACATATATCCATAGTAACTATAAACTAAACAAAGAAGCAGAAGACTAATGGACAAGTAGGTGAAACAGCTGAAGAATGTACAGATGCAGCAAAAGCAGTACTAGGAAGGAAATTGATAGTGATAAACTCCTACATTGAAAAAGAAGAAATTTCAAATAAACAACCTAACTTTACACCTCAAGGAACTAGAAAAAGAACAAATGAAACCCAAAGTTAGCAGAAGGAAGGAAACAATGAGGACTATAGCAGAAATAAATGAAATAGAGAATAGAAAGATAATTTCAAAAATCAGCAAAATTAAAGTTGATTGAAAAGATAAACAAATTGATAAACCTTTAGCTAGACTAAGAAAAAAAGAAGCCTCAAATCAATAAAATCAGAAATGAAAGAGAAGACATTACAACCAAAACCACAGAAATAAAAAGGATTATGGGACTACTATGAACAATTATACCCTTCAAACTGGATATCATTCAAGAAATGGGTAAATTCCTAGAAACAATCAACCTACCAAAACTGAATCATGAAGAAATAGAAAGTCTGAACAGACCTATAACTAGTAAGGAAGTTGAATCAGTGATCAAAAATCTTCCAACAAAGATAAGCCTGGAACCAGATGGCTTCGCTGGTGAATTCTACCAAACATTCAAAGAATGCCAATAATTTTGAAACTCTTCCAAATAACTGAAGAGAAAGGAACACTTCCAAAATCATTTTACAAGATCAGCGTTACCCTAATACTGAAGCCAGACAAAGACACCACAAGAAAAGAAAATTACAGGCCAATATTCCTGATGAACATAGATGCAAAAATCTTCAACCTAATACTAGTAAACTAGATTCAACAGCACATTAAAATAATCCTACACCATGACCAAGTGGGATTTATCCCTGGGATGCAAGGATGTTTCAACAAATGAAAATCAATTAATGTGAGACACCACATTAACAGAATGCGGGATAAAAATCACATGACCATCTCAATAGATGTAGAAAAGGCGTTTGATAAAATTCAATACGCTTTCATGATAAAAACTCTCAACAAAATAGGAATAGAGGGAAATTACCTCAACATAATAAAAGCTATATGTGGAAAGCCCACAGCTAACATCATACTCAACAATGAAAAACTGAGAGCTTTTCCACTAATATTCAGAAGAAGGCAAGGATGCCCACTTGCACCACTTCTTTTCAATATAGTACTGGAAGTACTAGCCAGAACAATTAGCAAGAAAAAAAGTAAAAGTCATAAAAATCAGAAGGGAAGAAGCAAAAGTGTCCCTGTTTGCAGATGATATGATATTATATATAGAAAACCCAAAGACTCCACACAAATAACTGTTAAACTAATAAATGAATTCAGTAAAGTTGCAAGATACAAAATCGTCATACAAAAATCAGTTGTGTTTCTATACACTAATAACAAACTATGAAAGGAAATTAGGAAAACAATCCCATTTACAATAGCGTCAAAAAGAATAAAATACTTTGGAATAAACTTAACTAAAGAAGTGAAAGATTTGTACACTGAACACTATAAAACTCTGATAAAAGAAATTAAAGAAAACATAAACAAATGGAAAGTCACCCATGTTCATGGATTAGAAGACTAAATATTGTTAAAATGTCCATACCACCCAAAGAGATCTACAAACTCAATGCAATATCTATCAAAATCCTCATGGCATTTTTTACAAAAAAAGAAAAAACAATTCTAAAATTCTTATGGAACCACAAAAGTACCTAAATAGCCAAAACAATCTTGAAGAACAAAGCTGGAGGCATCACACTTCCTGATTTCAAAATATATTACAAAGCTACAGTAATTAAAACAGTATGGAACTAGCATAAAGATAGACATATAGATCAATGGAACAGAATAGAGAGTCCAGAAATAAATCCACACGTATATGGTCAACTGATCTGCAACAAGGATGCCCAGAATACACAATGAAGAAAGAATAGTGTCTTCAGCAAATGGTGCTGGGAAAACTGGATGTCCACATGCAAAAGAATGAAATTGGACCCTTATCATACAGCATAAACAAAAACCAACTCAAAATGAGTTAAAGACTCAAACATAAGACTGAAACTGTAAAACTCTTAGAAGAAAACATAGACAGAAATCTTCATTACATTGGTCTTAGTAATTATTTCACGGATATGATACCAATAGCACAGGCAACAAAAGCAAAAATAGACTAATGGGACTATAGCAAACTAAAAAGCTTCTGCACAGCAAAGGAAGCCATCAAGAGAGTGAAAAGGTAACATATGGAATGGGGAAAAATATTTGCAAACCATATATCAGATAAAGAAATAATTTCTAAAATACATAATGAACTCCTACAGCTCAATAGAAAAAATAATAATAACCGGATTAAAAATTGGGCTAAATATTTGAATAGATATTTTTCCAAAGAAGACATACAAATGGCCAACAGGTATAAGAAAAGATGATCAGTGTCGCTAAACATCAGGGAAACGCAGATCAAAACTACAATGAGATGTCACCTTGCACATGCTGGGATGGCTAGTCAAAAAAACAAAAGACAAGTGTCGGCGAGGATGTGAAGAAATCACAACACTTGTGTACAGTTGGTGAGAATGCAAAATAGTGCAGACACTATAAAAAACAGTATCAAGTTTCCACAAATAATTAAAAACACAACTACCATATAATCTAGCCATCCCACTTCTGGGCATTTGTTCAAAAGAATTGAGATAAGGATCCCGAAAAGATATTAACACTCCGTGTTCAATGCAGCACTATTCGCAATAACCAAGATGTGGAAACAATCTAAATGTCCAGCAACAGATAAATGGATTTTTTTAAAGTGGTATATATATGTGTGTGTGTATATATATATGCATATATATAATGGAACTTCATTCAGCCTTACAAAAGAGAGAAATCCTATGATATGCAACCACATGGATGAACATAGAGGACATAAAGTGAAATAAGCCTATTTCAGAAAGACAAACACTATACGATTCCACTTATATGAGGTATATAAAAGAGTCAACTCATAAAAGCAATGAATAGAATGGTGGTTTCCAGGGGCTGCAGGGAGGGGAAAATGAAGAGTTGCTAATCAGTGGGTATAAAATTTCAGTTACCCAGGATGAATAAATTCTAGAGATCTGCTGTACAACATTGTGCCTGTAGATAACAATACTGTATTATACACTTAAAAATCTAAGAGAGTAGATCTCATGTTAAGTCTTGTTACCTCAATAAATACCAAATAAATAAATAAATAAAAGGCAGATGGCAAATGGCATCTGCTGTGGAGAATGTAAGAGTTCTACTGTCCATGAATGTCAACCTTGCTGCTCTAATCTGCACAACTCTGCATGTGCTGCCTGCAGAGCAACCTGTTACTACGAGTCTTGTTCTATCTGAGTTTCCTACCTAACTTTCCAGGAAGCCTGATTTCTAGCTCCAGCAGAAGCACTTCCATCTCACCTGACAGTTTCCTGATCTTGGGCCTGGCCCTTCTTTGTCTGCTCCCACCCACACTGAGACAAGACAAAGACCTCACCTCCTCACTAGAGTTGAGTCCCAGAGTCCCCTTAGTCACCGACATGACTCACTCATGCTCAGTTTCCACAACCACTGTAGCCCAACCCAGGAAGCTTGATGGACACCAGAGATGGGGTTCCAGACTTCCTGAAAGTGATGCCTGCTGTCACATACCTCACCTCAAGCCCACCATTCCCAGGAGCCCTGATCCTAACACTTCTACCACATCCACTCTTAACTGGGCCTCCTAGAAACTAAGAGCTCATTCTGCCCTGGTGGAGCTAGTTAGTGAGGTCTTGACACGAAAGGATTGAGATGTCATCTGGATGACTTAAAAAAATATTTTAAAGCTTAGAAAGAGGAAAGCTCTCAGTGGCCCAATATTTCATTGATGTCATTTCCAACTCTCAATGAGATGAGAAAATCAAATAATTCCACCTCCAAAGGGGTTCAGTTCAGCCTGGCTAGTTCAATTCCCTTTTGGATACAGGATTTGATATCCAGATTATCAAGGGCAATGCAGTTAAGGAAATAGAAACTGAGAGGTGTTAGTTAACTTTCCAGGCCAAAGTAAATCAGCAGCAAGTGACAAGTCCTGAATTTGAAGCCAATTCTGTCAGAGCCCCAAGATCTGCCTCAAAGCGTGAGGGAGAAGCTGAAGGGACAAGGCACCTTGTGTTGTAGGGGGAGGTAGTTTATCTCTCTACAGTCACGGAATTTTAGAGCTGGAATTAGCAGCAGGAATCCTTAGATCTAAGCCTCTCATTTTACCACTGAGGAAACTGAGACCCAGAAAAAGTAATCGACCTACTCAGGGTTAAACATCTATTTTTTAATAATTTGGAGAAAAGTGAAAACAGGAAACCAGTAAAATAGTTATAAACTTTGAGGACCTTGGAAGTAAAAGAGGGCCTGGTACAAAAGGGAAGAAAGAGGGGAATTGCAGGGCAGGAGAGTGTGGACTCTGGAGCCAACCCTCTGACACTTCGTAGCTCTATGTCCTTGGGGAGTCAATTTCTCTTTATTCTTCACTTTATGAAACTATAAGAAGGCAAGCGCCCTAACGCAGAAGTACAACATCATGATAAAGATGATAATAAAAACAGTAATTATAGTAATAACATAAAATCATCCAAAGTACACTACGTATATGTTCTCACAGAATTCCTCTCAGGTGGGAGGTGACCATTTTATAGACGAAGAGACTGGGGCACCAATAGGTGAGGTAAACTTCCCCAGGTCTCACAGCTGCTAAGTGGTGGAGCCAGGTTCCAGGCACTTGGAGTCCAGAACCAGCTAGAGATACTGGACTTTTCACCTCCTGGAGCATTGGTATGTGCTGGCTCTGTCCAGTCTACTCAGGCTCCTTCAGGATCTTGACCTGGCTGGTCATAGTCACCTTGCTAAGACCCAGAACCCAGGTCTGACAAATGCCACTTTTGAGACAGTATACATAAACAGATTTCCATAGAGCAGAAGTTATATTCAAATACAAAACAATCAAAATAAACAAACAAAAAGATGAACACGCTAAAAAAAAGGAAGGAGGAGCCAACAAGCATGAAAATAGACACCACGTAGTAAAGTCATCGGGATCTTGAGAGGCCCTGTGCTGACACAAACACTAAGGTTAGAGATCAGAAAGAAAGGCGCACCCCCTAGACATTGACTAATGAGGCGTCTTTATGATTCGCATCCTCAGTTGTAGAAGACTTACTCAGTTTATTAATATTAGGTATTAGAGGACTCCACGTCTGTAAATATTCAGCTCTAAATCCATCCATGGAAAACAAAATAACTGGTGGCAAGTCAAATCTGAAAATGGAAAACAAAAAATTAGTCCATTATTTTGATGGGGAAAAAATAGACACTTTTCTATACTACTTACAATTCTATAAATTAGAAAATGCTTACAAAGTACAGTAAGAAAATAGTTATAGGTCAAATTTTCCTTTCTCTTGCTAAAAATTATTTCCCTTAACAGTCTGTACTTCCAGTATCTTAGTAATCTCTAACATAAATGTACAATATTTTTTTTTAAAAAGTGTGACATAAATTATCTGAATCTTTCAACTTTAAGGTCTACCAACCTTTGAGTTCTAGAGTTTAAATAACTTTGGCTAACTTTCTTTATTCCCATTGGCTCCTTGGCATTGCCTATCTATGAGAGCCAGCTATGCCAGGTATGAAATTTCTCTAGCCCCGAGAGTCTATAATGAAAGGCAGTGTGCTGTGGAGAGGATGGAAGGGTTTTGGCCTCAGCAAGACTTGAGTTCAACTCTCTGCTTCATTCTTTATGAGCTGCTTGACACTAAACAGTTACTCAATCTCTCAAAGTTCAATCCCAACCCACTTGGGAATCATTACAACACAGCACATTATTATCACTGCCTCACCTCAAATATATTTAGTATTTTACGGTGAGAGGTATACACGGAGCTAATTAATTGTAGTTTTACAACAGAGGTCAGCAGCATACAAGCAGAGCATTAACAAAACATCACCAGAAACCAGGTTCTAGATTGCAGCCCTTTCCCAATTCTGGCTTTGGGCAATGAGCCAAAAGAAATGATAACCGAATTCAACGCTCAAACTTAAACATTATAAAAGTTAAAATTATTCTACCATCTTTTTTATATAATTATGAATGGAATTTAGGAAGTTTGCAGCTTATGAGGTATTTTATTATTCTAAAGTCTACATGTTTAACTCTTTATTCTAATATCTCTTTATTCTAATATCTAATAATACTAATGACTCTTTAATTAATATTAACCTTAAAAGCATTACAATCTCTTTTTAGATGAGTATTTAAGTTAAAATGATGGAAGGTAACTTTTGGGTTGTAGCCAGAGACTGTCTTTTTTTCATTCAATGTTTTTCTCATTTTTAAAATTTTACTTGTATTTTATATACATACACACACACACTTTTCAGAGTTTCATAAATTTTTCCTAACTGAACTCCACTGTGTGGCATCACCCAGATCAAGAAATGGAATGTTACTAGCACCCTAGAATCCTGCCCCCACACTCCCCTCTAATCGCTAGCCTCTGCCAACCACACCTCCACCCATGGTGATCACCATCTTGACTTCTAACGGCATAGATTAGTTGTGTCTATTTTTGTACTTATGTTTACATGCAAACAGAATCATAGAGTACATATTCTGTCATGTCTGGCTTCTTTCACTTAACATTATGTTTGAGATTCATCCACATTGTTGCATGTAGTTGTAGATCATTCATTCTCATGGCTGTCTGGCATTCCAGTGAATGAATAAAGCACAACTTATTGATTCTCGTGTTGGTGGGTATTTGGGTACTTTCCAGTTCAGGGCTATTATAAATAGCAATGATGAACACAGTAAGTTTGTTTTAGATTCCAAACATAATGCATGCAAGTGAGAATGCAAAAGAAATTATTTTCAACACTATGCTCAAGCAGTATCACATCTAAATTTTTTAACAAGAACATATTTTTCCAAGAAATTTGGTTAGAATAAGTCTCTAAAAATTCTGACAAACACCCAATATTATTATAAAGAAAATTCTGAATGCTGATAGCAGCTAAAAATAAGAAGAATAATTTCAGTTTTTTTCAATGTGCTTGAGTAAAGCTAGAAAAAATATCAGTGTAGCAACCTAATTCCACATTGTGAATGAACACATAATGTGAGCATTTCAGTGTATATAAACTATACCTTGAAAAATAAAAATGGAATATTGGGACTGTTTTAACTACAATGTGTAGAAAATTCATCAAGAAATTAAAGTGGTATATTGCAATTTGCATTGGAAAATACTTATTTCTTTCACAAAGTTATTAGCATAATGCTGATTTAAAAATTTATATTCATCAATACATGATTAAAATAATCTTGCAGCTGAAAAACAGGGTCAAACATCTGTGGGGTCAAGATGTTGACTTAATTCTTACAAGAAATCTTCTGAACTTGGCCATCATTATTATTCTGATTTTATACATGAAGTTCAGAGAAGTGACTAATGCAAAGTCCCACGAGCAAAACCAGGACTCAAACTCAAGTCTCCTTTTTATTCTAAATTTTTGGTCTTCTACCCAGAGGCTGCTGAAGAGGACAGCTGGATCGGAGGATTGCGGTAAACCAACGTAGCATGGTACAAAAACAGACAGGTTATCCACACACATTTTTTAAATGAAATAATGCTATTTACAAATGCCTCTACCAGTTCTTCCCATAACCAGGTATTCTTTTCTCCTTCCTCTTCCTCACCATCATCCTCTCACTGCTTGGGCCAGAAGACTGAAGTAGGTGAAGGGCAGAAGGGGCAACTGAGGGAAAGGGGAAATCCACCCTGACTCTGAGGTGATGTTGGGCACATTTCCAGGGCTAGGCAAGTGTGGGAAACAGCCATCATACATATGTGGAGGAGATGCATGGAGGAGTGGGGTGAGGGGTGTTACCTCACGGGTCATCACCTGTGCCCACCTGACAAAGTCCCCCTCCTCCATTCTTCAAGGTCCACCTTTCCCTGTGAGGACTTCCATGGACAAACCTCCTCCCCTTCCCTCAGTAAGAACAAATTTGAGGTGCCAGGATGTTCACAGAAAAGAGTTCCAGCTGGAGTAATTTAGATAGAAATTCTAGGCCTGACAATACGACCTTGAGAATGTTAGGATAAAGACTTCAACAAATTTTTTAAGTCATTGTTGTAAGACAGGAATGTAATAAATTAATATAAAAATGCTTTGTAAACAATAAAGCTAACAAAAGTCGTTATGAGTTTGAAGCCACAAGGAATCTAATCTTTTGTTAACTTTTTTATTTTAAAATGTAAACAGAGCTACATTCCCGTGTGCCATCCGGTAAAAGAGGATAAAAACCCCCAGAGCATTCTCACCCCTCTGGACACTGAGGCTGCTGGGCTGTGCCACACTCTTCATTCACCCACGGGCTTTCTCCTGAAAAGCATCAGATCAAAAGCTTTAGACGGCTGCCCCAGAGACAACAGAAGGGAAACAAATGTTCAATGGACATGATCTTTCCAAACTACTTAATTCCTGTTACTCCAATGACTAAATTCTTCCGGAATGTGTTTAGTGCTATTTCACATGTTTGCAAGGTCATTGCCTCTAGTGCCTCGCTCGATCAGAAATCTACACTAACTGAATACCAGGAAACCCATCTTTACTGAGAAAAACAAAGGGGTTTCCTCTAGCCTAAAAGGGACAATTTCTTCTTCCTTTTCTTAATAATGTTTTTTTCCTCATGGACAATGTTTTCCAACTGCTTAAAAAAAATGACTTTAATAAATATGGATATACAGTATAAAGTAAAGAGAAAAGAAAGCACGAAAAAAAAAAAAAAAGGAAATGGCCAATGAGAATAATTGATATCAAATGGGCAAAAGTGAAAAAACAAACAGTTAAGATCTTAACTAAAAAATTCTTACTCCACGGATGTTACTGGTTATAGAACACTCAGCTAATTAATGAAGTAGAAATGATAGAATATGAATGTCATCATTTGCAACACCTGTGGATCTAGGCAGTGATCATCAACAGCTAACATCCCCAAAAAAGAGACAAGATGTGCCTCTTAATGGAAGTAATACCTCCTCCTATGAAATATATGTGCTAAATAAATAAATAAAACCTGAATCTAAACGGTCCTTTGATTCTAACTACCAATTTTCAAGAAACATTGGAGAGGACAAACTGCTTAAGTCACAGGACATGCAATCTGCAAAACCCAGACAGGAAAACTCTACAGGACAAATGACTCATTTCTCCAACATGTAAATTGCAAGGGGAAAAAAGGTGGAAGAAAGAATCTACTTTTAAAGGACTTAAAATATATCATCCTGTTGCAATGTATGAAATCGATTTCAATCTTACTTCAAACAATCTTTTTAAAAAATATTATGAAACAAACAGAAAAATTTGAACACTGGGTATTTGATGACAATAAATAATTATCAATGATATTTTTAGATATATTGATGGTATTATAATTTTCTTAAATCTTTATCTTCTTTAGATATATACTGAAAATATTTACAGATGAATGATATTAACTCTAGAGTTTGCTTTGAAATAATCTAAAGTTTGGGGAGATAGGTTGGGGGGGAATAAAGTGTATATTTTATTATCAAAAAAAATTCCAAAACTTGGAAGTAAGCAAAAGGAGGACTGACCACTAAATTTCATTTTAATGTCATGGTAGGAATTATCTAAAAAGCCCAACTACAGATTATCTAATTACCTAGGAGTATATACCTTTACCCAGCTTATTCTTTACAATTCACTTTACAACTCAGTAGTGGTAGCAGTTAATTGGTAGGTACGAATAGCCATATAACTGCTTCTTGTCTGATAACAAATAATTTGCCCTGTAGAAATACAAATCATTTCTGTCCCACCAGAAATTAGAGTTTTAGTGATTTTATTCCAACATTCTTTCAGTGCCTATATATTCTTAGTCTCACTGATTCTCTTTGAGCCAGCTTAACATTCCAGTTGGTTAACTCATTAATGACTTAATAAGTCTTTGACATCTTCACTTTACATTCATATGAGTCTTGTTTTTATGTTTCTGAAAATTATACTGTGTCAATATGAGACAAGATAGGCCATGAGTTGATCATTGCTGAAGCTGGGTGACAGACATACAAGGAAAAGATCATACTATTCTCTCCTTTGTATATGTTAGAAATTTATCATAAAGTTTTAAAAAATTCTTAACTTAAAATATAAAAGTAACTAGCTGTTGATTTCTTACACAAAAATTTTTCAAATCCCCTCAAACTCCTATCTGAAGGTATAATTTTGGTAAAAATCATTTAACATCTTTAAAGTATTGAATCCTTAGAGTGAGAAAACATTTACATTTATTTAAATAATAAACTGAAATGACTAAATTAACTCCATCAAAGTAATCAGTTAGTAATGGCAAACTTCAACACTGCTTATAACAATTACTTTTGTTTCTGTTAAATTCAAACAGTCTTGTGCAATGAATTCTGTGGGAAAATTTACCGCATGACATGAGGATCAGTCTTGAGATAAAAAGTTAAGAATTACAAAATTGGGAAAGAAGGTGGGAGAATATAGAGGTCAGAGGTAGTATGGTCAGTTAACTTGTTAGAGAAATAAGCAAACTAAAAACCATACTTGCCTTTATCAATTTAGAGAGATTTTTAATGATACAATATTCACCATAAATATAAAACAATTATCATTTAAAAACAGAGTTACCATTTCAGGCTTTTGTTTTCCTTTCTGATTGCCCTTTTTAGCTGATTTTTCAATAATATTTTGCATAAAAATTGATTCCTCTGCTAGTGCAAAACTTATTTTCTACTAAGGGATTATAGTTAATAATGTTTCTACGATAACATTTTACTCCTTTTTAAAAAATCAGAATTCAACCAAATCCTTTTTTTTTGTCTAAAAATATTAAAACTGTAAGTTAGTTAGCTCTACTGGATGTAGTGTTATGAAAAAGGCATTGATAGCTTGAAGCAATTTTGTTGCTATGTGTATAAGTGCATTTTTCATAAATATCATCAGATGTTCTGAGGGATTGGTGATTTAAGAAAAAAATCTGCACCGTCTATAAAGTGGCAAGGGGGTGGCATCAGAGGTGAATAACCTGGATTAGAATTTTGGCTCTGCGTTAACTCTCTGAGGGCCCTAAATCAGTAATTGAACCACTCAGGACACAATCGTTTCAACAATAACATTGGTTTAATGGACTGATGTTTGGGCCAGATAATCTTTTTCGTGATGTTTTAACTTTAGGATCTGCCATCTGGTGTCCCAAACCACAAGTCTAGCAGAGTCAATGGACTGAAAAAGACCTCGTCTTACAGAGAAATACAGGACTTGAGGCTTTCTCATCTTTTCTATAATATCTACGCTATGAGCTCTCTTCCTCTATGGGGCACAAACCACATTTCTTCCCACAGTAAACACATGTGGTCTTTGCTTCTATATGGACTAGCTAAAGATTCTCTGACTTATTTTAATTTTTGCAGCCCAAGCCAGCTTTAGGTCACTGAACTCTCAGAGGCAAATGGGTTGACATCCTTTGCTTACCTTGGCAAACACTCTTATAGTTAGTACAGCAGTCTTTCCTCTGCAAACAGTCATCTGAACAGGAGCAAAGGCTGGATTCTAGTCTGGTCTCCCCACAACGAAACTTATTGCATGTCCATATTCGAGCTGTAAAATTACACACTTTGGTTCTGAGCATTTAAATTAAGTATCCAATACCAAAAATATAAATTTCATGCATTTCTCCCTGTATTATTGTACAGTCAAATTCTCAGTTTATCTGCATTAATAAATGAAAACACATAATACAAATAAGGCACAATCCACCACTTTCACCTCTGAGTCTGGAGAAACTCTGAACACCAGTCCTATTCCCACCCAGGGGTAGGAGCTCCCGATGGTGAAGAACCACTAACCCTGAGTGATTGCTGCCACTCAAGAGCAGCTTTGCCCAGGCTTGTCTAAGGACAGGCAGCAAGGAAGAGACAGTGACAACAGAACTAACAAGAACACAGTCAGGTCTGTAAGAATGTAGGCAGGTCAGGGTGCCTGCCAGCTGAGAGTGACAGAACTGGTAGATCAGCTCCTACCACGCCTCTCCTGTTCTCCCAGGCTATGTACTTAGTATGAGATCAGTTTAAATAAGTCCCAATGCTAAAAACACAAGAGGCTGCACTGAGGCTGCTTCCCAGTGTACCAGCTAGGAAACGGTGACTAAAATCAATGTCAGCCCTGTGCTTAGACAAATACTGAGTGCTGTGTGCTTCAGTTGTGCACAGAGTTCTTCATTCCTCATTATTTAGTATTTACTTAGAAAGAAAAGATTTTGGGAGATTAAGCAAAGGGAACACAGATTTTATTTAGACTAGGTTATCCCCTCCCTCCTGCCCTTTTCAGAGAGCATAGTGTAAGGAGCTCTACTGTTCTAATCTTCACTCTCCTCGACCCTCTAGACTCCCCAACTGCCCTGATTTCTCAGAAAATCAAACATCACAAACTGTGTCTTCCACCTAGAGAACAAAAGTTCTTAAGTTGTGTTCTGTGAACACTGGCACCAGAATCACCAAGAATCACCAGCTTTCTTAATAAGCCTTATGCACCTGAAATTTGAGAACCACTACAAATGAAACCAAATAAGAGGATTAACTTAAGCCATAGTAAAACTCCATTGAAATAGATGTAATTATACAGCATTTCATCTGCTATAGACTGTTATTCCTCAGCCTCAATTAAATAAGTGTGGACTCCGCATTTGGCACTCTAAAGGGAGACATGATAATACTAGACCTTGTATACAAGGTATTATGGGTTGAAATGTGTCCCCCTGAAAAAATTTTGAAGTTCTAACCCCCGTTACTGTGAATGCAACCTTACTTTAGAAAAGGATCTTTGCAGATAGCCAAGTTACAATGAGGTCATTAGGGTGGGCCCTAATCCAGTATGACTGGTGCTCTTATAAAAAGGGTAAGTCTGGACATGGACACACCCAGAGGGAGGACTGTGAAGACACAGGGGGAAGCCCATGTGAAGGTGAAGGCAGAGTTTGAACTTAGGCTGCCACAGGGCAAAGAATGCCAAGATTGCCAGCAACCCCCCAGAAGCTTGGAGAGAGGCATGGGGCAGAGTCTCCCTCACAGTCTTCAGAAGGAAGCAACCCTGCCAACACCTAGATCTTGGATTTCTAGCTTCTAGAACGGTGATAAAATGAATTTCTGTGGTTTAAGCCACCCAGTTTGTGGACTTTATTATGGCAGCCCTAGCAAACTAATACACAAGATGTAAGGTGAGCATTTGTGCATGCATTAATGATAGCACCATCAACATGCTAATAAACTTAATCTCAGAATTCATACTTGATTCCACACAGGTGTCTTGAAAATCCCAGCAGCAGTCACCTCGGTCTTGACATCGCACATCACACCAGCAGCCCTCCAATCCTCTAAATGAAGAATCAAAGCATTTTTTCCTGCAGCTGCCTGTAGAATGAAGGAAATAAGGAAACAAACACTTAGAAGGTATCCAATATCTCATAGACAGATGGTGGAAGCACACAGAAGTACTAGCACAGACAATGCAGACAAATAGGTAATTTTTATTGTGCTGTATGATCCATCAGTGCAAAGTAATAAGTAATGAGTGACAAATAATGAGTGATTTTTCCCAGGGCCCCAGAGAGGTCCCAGACTCAGAGACATCAGGCACCATTAGACGAAGGTAGGAGGGACAGGCAGAGGCTAAACACAGTGGAATCAGTTGAAAGTCTGAATATGGAGCAGTGACTACACACTCCACTTCCTACTACAGAGTAGAAGGATCATAATCTGGAGGAATTCAGGAGGAGTGGCTCTCATCACAGAGACAGCAGACATAGAAGATGAGCTACAATGAGAAAAGATGAACAAGCCTTACTCTTAAATGTGAACAGATAATTACAGATATCTGAGGATGACAGGAAGCATCCAACATAAAAGACAAAGACCAAAACAAGAAAAAAAGAAAAACTTGGTTGAAAGGGAAATTATGCAGGGAGCGGAAGAGTTACACACATGCACACACACACACACACACACACACATACGCTTAAGTAATATTCAGATCCTCTGAAAAGAGAAGATACTGCATCCATGAAATAAGAAAGAAAGCTTAATCAAAAAGAGAGAAATAGTGAGTGACGTCAGCATCATGGAGGACTGAGCTCTTCCCTTAGCCGTTCTCCTCTAAGATACAATGAAAAGAACATTCATAAACCAACAGAGCACCTTGATACAACACAATAGACATCTGAGAGATCCACACAGCCATACGTCTCTAGATGGGGGTGCTGGACCTTCCCGGGAGGCAGTGGAAGGAGGTAAAGGGATCTCCTCTCCCTCCCGAGCAGCAGTGATCTAGGGCACAGGACCTTGCACGGCAGCCAGCATGCGACCCTAAGAGGAGAAGGGGGGAAAGGCCAGCCCTACACGGGACTGCTCTCACTCTTGGAGTTGCCTCCCAACCCATGGGAATGCTCCACACTGAGGCAGCTAAGCAACTTGGGGGGGCGGCGTCCCCACCAAGCTGAGCAGCCCAGGCAGGCAAAGAGGGCAGAGTGGAAGCACATGGGATCACGTGTGTGAAAGAAAGCACCCCTCTTGCCTCGCGCACCAGATCAGACAGTTAGCCAGAGCAGGGGATCTCTGCCAGAGCGCCTGTGCCTACATGTGTAAAGCAGCAGTGACCAGCGGAAAAATGCAGACAGGGCCTGTCAGCACAGCTTGCAACAGACAGGCACAACTCCCAAGGGTCGCAGCGGGCTCAGAAAACACAGCACTTAGCCCCCAAGTGGCAGCAGGTGGAATCTGTGGCCAGATACTACCACTATGTGATGGAAAAAGTCCAATCCGTAAAGTAGTATGAAGAAGTATATTAACACTCCAGACCAGAAGGAAAATGGCAAGCACCCAGAAATCAATCCTGAAGTCACAGAAACTTACAACCTAAATGACAGAGAATTCAAAATAGCTATCATAAAGAAATTCAATGAGTTACAAGAAAACTCACAAAGACAGTTCAATGAAATCACAAATAAAATTAATGAACAGAGGGAATTCTTCACAAAACAGATTGAAACTATAAAAAAAATAGGAAATTGTGGAGATGAAAAATACAATGAATGAGACAAGGTAAAACCTGAAGTCCTTAAAAAACAGAGCTGATATTATGGAGGATAGAATTAGTAATACAGAGGACAGAAAAAATAAATGCTTCAGAAGGAGGAGGAGAGAGATCTAAGACTAAAAAGAAATGAAGAAATTATCCAAGAAATATCAGACTCAATTAGGAAATGCAACATAAAGATTATAGTTATTCCAGAAGGAGAAGAGAGGGAGAAAGGAGCAGAGAGCTTGTTCAAAGAAATAATAGCTGAGAACTTCCCAAACCTGGGGAAGGAGCTGGAATTATATGTAAATAAAGCTAATAGAACTCCTAATTACATCAACGTAAAAAGACCTTGTCCAAGGCATGTATCAGTAAAACTGGCAAAAGTCAATGACAAAGAAAAAATATTAAGGAAGGCAAGGCAGAAGAAAATAACCTACAGAGGAATATTTATCAGGCTTTCAGTGGATTTCTTGGCAGAAATGTTACATGCTAGAAGAGAGTGGAATGATATCTTCAAAATTCTGAAAGACAAAAACTTTCAGCCAAGAATACTCTAGCCAGTGAAAACATCCTTTAGATAAAATCGAGAAATAAAAACTTTCCCAGATAAACAAAAGCTGAGGAAGTTCATCGCCACAAGAAGCTCCCTACAAGAAATGATCAATAAGGCCTTCATATCTGAAAAAAAAAAAAAAGCGTTTACAAAGCCTTGAGCTAGAAGATAAATAGACAAAATCAGAAAACTACAGTTCTCTATCAGAACAGGTTAGCAAACACTTAATTATAACATTAAAGATAAAGAGAATGAAAACATCAAAAATAACTATAATCACGTAATTCTAATCACAAACTCATAACACAAAATGGAATAAGTTGTGACAACAATAACTTAGATGGGAAAGAGAAAATGGACGAAACGTGCTTAGAGTAAGGAAATGAGAGGCTATCAGAAAATGGACTATCTCATCTATGAGATCTTTTATACAAACCTCATGGTAACCACTAAACAAAAAATGAGAACAGAGACACAAATGATGAATAAAGAGAAACTGAGAAAACCATCATAGAGAACCACCAAACTGAATTGGCAGTTGGAAATATACCAGATAAGAAACAAGGGAAATATAGAACAACAAGAAAACAAGTGATAAAATGGCAGTATTAAGCCCTCATGCATAAACAATCACTCTAAATGTAAATGGATTGAATTCTCCAATCAAAAGACACAGAGTGGCTGGATGGATTTAAAAAGAAGACCCAACAATATGCTGCCTCCAGGAAACACATCTCAGCTCTAAAGACAAACACAGGCTCAGAGTGAAGGGATAGAAGATGATACTCCAAGCTAATAGCAACCAAAAGAAAGCAAGTGTTGCCATACTTATAACAGACAAGTAGACTTCAAGATAAAAAAGGGAATGAGAGACAAAGAGGGACAGGATATAATGATAAAAGGGAGACTCCACCAAGAGAACATAACACATATAAATATATATGCACCTAATACAGGATGGAAAGGGAGCAACTATTAACAGATATAAAGGGAGAAATTAACAGCAACACAATAATAGTGGGGGACCTCAACACTCAACTTACATCAATGGATAGATCAGCCAGACAGAAAGTCAATAATGAAATAGTAGAATTAAGTGAAAAACTAGATCAGATGAACTTAGGAGATATACATAGAACATTCCATCCCAAAACAGTAGAATACACATTCTTCCCAAGTGCACATGGAGTATTCTTAAAGATAGATTATATGTTGGGAAACAAGGCAAGCCTCAATAAATTTAAGAAGACTGAAATCACATCAAGCATCTTTTCCAATCATAATACTATGGAACTGGAAATCAACTACAAAAAAGCTGGAAAAGTGACAAATATGTGGAGATTAAATAACATGTTACAACAACCGAAGGATCAATGAAGAAATTAAAGGAGAAATCAAAAATATCTGGAGACTAATGAAAATGAAAAAACACCATACCAATTCCTATGGGATCCAGCAAAAGCAGTCCTGAGAGGGAAATTCATAGCAATACAGGCCCACCTTAACAAACAAGAAAAACTGCAAATAAGTCATCTTAAACTTCACCTAACAGAACTAGAAAAAGAAGAACAAACAAAGCCCAAAGTCAGTAGAAAGAGGGAAATAATAAAAATTAGAGCAGAAATAAAGGAAACAGAAACTGAAAAAAAAAAAAAAAAAACAGTAGAAAGGATCAATGAAACTAAGAGCTGATTCTTTGAGAAGATAAACAAAATTGACAAACTGTTAGCCAGATTAACTAACAAAAAAGGGACAGAAGGCTTAAATAGATAAAAATAGAAGTGAAAGAGGAGAAACTACAACAGATACCACAGACATACAAAGGATTATAAGAGAATACTATAAAAAACTATGCTGACAAATTGAATAACATAGAAGAAATGGATAAATTCTTAGACTCATAGAACTCCCAAAACTGAATCAAGAAGAAATAGAGAATCTGAATAGACCAATCACAGGTAAACAAATTGAAACAGTAATGAAAAACCTCCACAAAAATAAAAGTCCAGGACCAGATAGCTTCTCTAGAGAATTCTACCAAATATTCAAAGAAGATTTAATACCTATCCTTCTCAAACGATTCCAAAAAATTGAAGAAGATAGAACAATTCCTAACACATTCTATGAGGCCAACATCACCCTGATCCCAAAGCCAGACAAGGACAACACAAAGAAGGAAAATTACAGGCCAATATCGCTGATGAACATGGATGCAAAAATCCTCAACAAAATATTGGCAAACTGAATACAGCAATACATTAAAAGGATCAGACACCATAATCAAGTGGGATTTATACCAGGGATGCAGGGATGGTTCAACATCTGCAAATCAATCAATGTGATACACCACATTAAAAAATGAGGAAGAAAAATCACAGGATCATTTAAATAGATACAGAGAAAGCATTTGAAAAGATTCCACATTCGCTTATGATAAAAAACTTTCAATAAAATTGGTATAGAAGGAAAGTACCTCAACATAATAAAAGCCATATATGACAAATCCACAGCCCACATACTCAATGTTGAAAAACTGAAACCCATCCTTCTGAAAACAGGAACAAGACAAGGGTGCCCACTCTCACCACTCTTATTCAACATAGTACTGGAGGTTTACACCAGAGCAATTAGGCAAGAAAAAGAAATAAAATGTATCCAAATAAGAAAGGAAGAAGTGAAACTCTTCCTGTTTGCAGACAACATGATTATATATGTAGAAAACCCTAAACAATCCATCAGAAAACCATTAGAAATAATCAACAACTACAGCAAAGTTGCAGG